AAAAAAAAAAAAAAAAAGGATGGAGAAAGGACCCATACAGTAACTAGTACAGTAACTATCTTCAACACCAGATCAGTTCATTTTAAGGATGGGTTAGCATGCTCATAAAGGAATGCACAAGTAGGAGCAGACAGAAAGGCCATATGTGATGAAAAAGAACATTAGAACATACAAAGACTCTGAAAGACTGGTAGACAGGTAGTGAAAGCAAGAGCTAGAGGGATACACACAGAGAGAGAAAGGGAAGGAACAGATGGCAGGTGGTGTCTCTGAAAGAAAAAGATTAAGCTAAAGATAAGTGTGAGATGTAGGCAAAATTTAGTAAATGAGAATGTGGAAGTGACTATGAGAAGCAGCTGGGACCCCCATACAAAAAGACTAAAGTCTAACTGTAAAAGAATCATTTCCTTCTCTGATGGAAGGGACCATGCCTCCAAGAGCAAAAATTTACTATATTAAGCGGTGGCGGTGGTTGTGTGCCATGGAGTCGGTTCCGATTCACAGCAACCCTGTACAGGTTTTCCGAGGCTGTAAATCTTTACAGGAGCAGAAAGCCTTATCTTTCTCCCGTGGAACAGCTGGTAGTTTCGAACTGCTGACCTTGAAGTTCACAGCCTAACTCATAACCACTATGCTACCAGAGCTCCCACTCAGGTATGTGAGTTTATGGTATTAAACAGTGTGAGCAGCTTCTTCATTCTCTCCAAGAAGAGTGCACTAGTTCACCAGTACAAGCATTTAGGTGGTCTCCGCAGTCATTCCACTTCTTACTGGAAATCCTTAAATGGCATTGTGATTTAATATATGAATCTCAGGGTCTGGTTAATGAGAATATGCACTTTTGAGAGATTCTGAGTGTAGATGGACTAAAGGTTGATTCTTAGATTTTGGTGAATATTTCAAATTGACACCATTCTTTGAGGACTACTACCAGACCAAGAACTGGCTTCCCCATGCAACAAGGAGGAGAGACTTTTTGTTGTAGCTGAGACCCTCTTTTAGAACCTCTTTTTTTTTTTTTTTTTTTTAAATAAACGTTATCAATATAGAATATCTTTTTAATTTGTGAAATGTAATCACCCGTCTCCGAAAACGACCAGTGGTAGATTTGGGATCTTGTGAACTGTATGAATAGCTCTGAACTCCAGTTGAGAAATCAAATTGGCTCATTTCCTCACTCAGGCTACTGGCTGCCGAATACGACAGGGAAGACATATAATGAGGACCATCTGAAATATAAAGGAGAAGGAAAATAGTTTATTCATACATAATCAATATATGTCTCTACATTGAAATGACATAGAAATTACCAACTCCTTTCTCATAGATTCTTAAATGTCCCACCTGAATCCCCATTTGATGCTTCTCTGGCTTCCTTTCGAATTTCAAGGTACTTTTTCTTTCTTTCCATAGGAACCTATACGGCAAAACACAAAATTTAAAACTTAAAAAAAAAAAAAAAATATATATATATATATAGTCGTGCTTTTGTTGTTTTGGTAACACTCTGTCTGACAAAAGGGAACCAATCATTAAATAAAACTTGTATTAGATTTAAAAGCTATAAAAAAAGATCCACAAAAAAGATAGGTGAGTGGTCCTTACAGGATAAGTTGCTAAATAAGTTAGTGACATTATTTTTGTTTATTAGTTCTTTAAACATAAGCTTGGGGGGAGGGGGGGAAGTAGTCTTGTTTCAAAAGGGCTTAAAGCAGGAAGCATCCACTTTTTTTAACCCACAAACCACAAAAGTGTGGTATCTAACTGTGAGGAAAACAGAGCTGAGCCCTAGTTTGGACAGGCTACGGACAGGAACAGTGGTTCCAGGTCAAACCTGCTCCTCTATCCAACAGACCATGTCCTCAGCAGCCATTAATGTGGGCATATCCAATCTGTCATCTCTGCTTGAGAAATTCCTCTATGCTTCCCATTCCTTCTGTCCACAGCACCTCATGCTGTAGTCCCCACCAGGACTCTAGGCCAAGTCTGTACAAGCATCTCTCACCAGAGGGGTTTAATCAGAAACAACAACTTCTGGGGTTCGCTTCCTTTGTTGGGATTTGCTTTCTGGTAAAGGCCAAGAATGGGAAACTTCAAGTTCTGAAGCATTTGGTTGTAACTGTCTGAGATTTTACCTTGGGGCCAATTAATGAAATCAAGTTGTGTAGTTAAAAGTAGAAAACATCAGCAATTTAATATGTTTCTCATAATACATGCTTCCCTTTACAATGACTTAATAAATGTTTTTAGGGAAGGAACAACACTGAAAATTTCCACTCACCTCAACTTCTATAGGAAATGTATAGCAGCGATTCAGGTCTAACAGATTTTCAAAAATAAGCAAGTTCTGTAAATCCAAAGAATCATAAAAAAAAAAAAAATCTCAGTTGTATCAAAGGTAGTTATTACTACTGATGCTACTATAGAATTAATGCTACTTCGTAACTCACACAGAAACAATTTACCTTTAAAATATAATATACTGTTTTTGTGAAGTGCCTTCAAGTCAGCTCCAACTCATAGTGACCCTATATAGGGCTTCCCAGGAGTGATTAGTGGGTTTGACCCACCGACCTTTTGGTTAGAATTCCAAAGCTTTTCCTAAAGTGCCACACCACAACTCAAAAATACAAACACCTATACAAAACATATAAGAAGCTCTGGTAGCATAGTGGTTACAAATCAGGCTGCTAACCTCAAGGTTGGCAGTACAAAACTACCAGCCGTTCCACGGGAGAAACATGAGGCTTTCTGCTCACGTAAAGATGTACAGCCTCGGAAACCATGTACAGGATCACTATGAGTCAGAACCAACTCCACAGTACTAAACAAGAACAATACATATAACTGTATATGTATAAATGCATGTGTGGGTATGGAGTCCTAGTAGCACAATGGTTTAGTGCTCACTGCTGTAAGAAAAGTTGGTGGTTCGAACCCAGCAGCCTCTTTGCAAGAGAAAAAAAAAAACTTAAGCAATCTGCTTCTAAAAAGATTACAGTCAAGGAAAACCTCAAGGGCAGTTCTACTCGGTCCTGGAGCGTCACTATGAGTCGGAATTGAACACTTCTTGTTGCTGTTTTTGGTAAGCACTGTTGAGACAGTTCTGACTCACAGCGACCCTTTACAGGGTTACCGAGGAACTGCTGGTGGGTCTGAACTGCCACCTTATGGTTAGCAGTCTAGTGCTTATCTTACAGCACTATAGCAGGACTTAGCAGCAAACAAAAACAACTATCTATGTACATCACACATTATAACATAACTTTAGATGGTGTAATCTAACTTTTCAAATCCAACTGTGACAGCAATAGTAACCTACTCAAGAGAGGCCTACCTTTTCTGGTTTTTCACTGAACAGAAAACCCTGGTAGAACTTTAACTCACTGAAGACACATGAAACAACAGAAATGGCACAGTTGTATGCAGCACAATGATAAAGTCTTCTCCTCTCCAATAACTGACTCTCTCCTGCCATGTTCTCTGTAAAGGCATCATAGCACAATCTGCAGAATAAAATCAGGATCAAAATTAATTTCTAAAATGTACAGCCTGCTGCTCAAACTGACACCCCCAAACAAAAGAATCTCATGCAGATCAAACTCCCTAAACATCACACTAAACAACAAGGTCTGGGAGCATACGGTGACCCCACCACCACACCCATTCACTTTCTTATAGCAAAGGCGAGATCATGGGCTTGGCCACACAGCTGGGCGAGAGTCAGTAACAAGTACGGTAAGTAGAAAATGGACACAAGGAGAAAAGATAATAGCCTGATCCAAGGGACCAAGAAAAGGAAGGCGTTAGTAGAAAATATCAGAGCTGGATCTTGAATCATAAATCAGCCAAAGGGAGCACATTATAGATATCACAAGCAGGGAGGAGTATTCCAGTAACAAGATGGTGCCCCAGTAACTGTGAGTGTCTGGGTGCTGCCAGGGACACAGGGAGAAGTGTACTGTGGTGGGTGGTGAAGAGAAACCTAGGTGCATTCCTAAAAGAATCTTGGAATTCATCCTGTATAATGGGTTGGCACACCACAGACCAATAGCCAACTACTTTTTAAAAACAGCTTTATTGAAACACAGCCATACCAACTCCCCATCTGGCCCTTTACAGAGAGTTTGCCACACCCAGCTCTAGAAGACAAGTGTCACAGAAGGGTGTTCAGTGGAAAGATAAGCAGTCAGGTCTGTATTACATTTAATTGGTAGTTCTGGAAACAGTGGGGGCAGTGAGATTGTAAGGGACGACAGCTATGATCGAGGCTACTGCAGTGGTTCACCAGAGAGCACAGGGGGAAACCCAAGTCTGAAGCAATGAAGATGAAGACGAAAATAAAGAATGGTAGGGCCATGCACTGAGAAGGCAATTTAAGCATGAGGTGAAGAGGAGAGTGATGTCAAATGAGATACAGTAATAATGTCACTGCCCAATATTTACTAGGAGGAAAATTTCATTAGAGAGCGAGTTTTACTACTTTGATAACTTTGTGTTTTATAGAATCCTATTAAAAATATGTAACACTCCTTTAATATCAAATTATAGTCAGAAAAAATACACTAAGTCTCTTCTTACTATAAATCATATGACTAAAAATACATCAATCTACTGAAGGTGAAAACTGGGACAAAGGCCAGCAAAAGAAGTTTCACTCGTTATAAAATATAAGTATAGGATAAAACATCTGTTACCCAGTGATCAGCTAAGTCAAAGTTCATTTAAGTGGTTTTTAATAAGAAAAAACAAGGATTGCCTTAATAGTAACAATTGCCCATAACAGAGGTAAACATAATGTGCTATCTAGCCATACTATGGAAAGCATCTAGGCATAAAAGGTAAATGCTACAATATGGATGAATCTTCAAAACACGCAAGTGAAAGCCAGATACAAAAGGACAAATATTGCATGATGATGTTTACATGAAATATCTAAAATACGTAAATGTACAAAGACAAAAGTTTATTATTGATAATGAGGAACAGATGAGAGTGGTAAAGGAGAAACGATTGTTTCAGAGATACTGAGTTTCTGCTAAAGGTGATGAAAATGTTTGAAACTGATAGTGGTGATGACAGCTGCCTACTATGAGGACCATAATCAACGTCTGAATTGTTGTTGTTGTTAGGTGCCATCACGTTGGTACTAACTCATAGAGACCTTATGCACAGCAGAACGAAACACTGCCCAATCCTGGACCAATCTCACTATTATTGCCACATTTGAGCCCATTGATGCTGCCACTTTACCAATCCGTCTTGCTGGGGGTCTTCCTCTTTTTCTCTGACCTTACTAAACATGATTATCTTTCACCAGTGACTGGTCCCCCCTGACAATATGTCCAAAGCATGAGAGACAAAGTCTGGCCATACTGGCCTCCAAGGAGCACTCTGGTGTTCTTTTGGTAGCCCATGGTACTTTCAATATTCTCCTCCAACACCATAACTCAAATGCATTAATTCTTCTATGATCTTCCTTATTCACTGTCCAACTTTCATATGCATATGAGGTTACTGAAAATACCATGGCTGGGGTCAGGCGGACCTTAGTCCTCAAGCTGACATCTTTGCTCTTCAACACTTTAAAAAGGTCTTGTGTAGCACATTTGCCTAATGCAAAATGTCGTTTGACCCCCTCCACACACAGAGTAGACAGGGATGGGCAACTTGGACATTGGCTACCCAAAATGGGGGGAGGAGGGGGATGCACAAAGGCAAGAAGTGACTGGATTACAAGCTTTAGAAGGGAACCTAGAGCCAGGGGGCCTGGAGGAAGGCAGAATCTCCAGTGAGTAGTAT